GCTAGTTGAGTAAGACCTATGTGCTCCATATATTTTCATGGTATCAGAGCCAAGTCTGTTTCCAGTTTGGGCTGTCGGTCCACACTCCACTTGGGCGTGAAGGGGAGGGGTGTGGGTGTTAGAGTGGGTTATAGAGTCTCACATCGGTTGAGGAATGGGGACTTGGGAAATTCTCCCTCATAAGCTAGATTTTGGGGTTAAGTTTGCCCAAATGCCACATCTTTTCACATATAAATCCTTCAAGATACACTTAAAACCTATTAAAAATGAGAAGAATCTGTTTTGGATCTCTAAGACCACTACTGGTTTCCTGTGCTTGGGTTACTTTTAATAGGAAGTTCAAACTTTTCGGCGTCTCTTAAAATAAGGAGCACGTGTATTTAAGTAACTTCTAAAACTTCCATAACAGTCTTGTTGTATGGCCCTGTTTCTATTCATGCAATCATGTGTCATGAACTTATTTGAGATATCTCTTTGCGTGGATAGTGATTGTTAGCTGTTTTACTGCTCCTTTAATGAAGTGTATTGCCATCCTAGGATGTATTTTAGTTACTTTCCCTTTGTGTTTGTTACTTTGAACCTACATATATATATATATATATATATATTTTTTTTTTTTTTTACATTTCATGTTTCTAGCTGATATTTTAACTTTACGAAAGTGCTACTTTAGTTTCTTCAGACATAAGTTCTAGTTATTGACAAAGCATTTATTACAGTTGATTTACTCAGGATATAGTTGCACGCAAGGCTGGTTCTTTACACCATGTAGCAGTGACCCTTGTTTGAGGTAAGAATGACTCCCTCAACACCCATTGATCCATGATGCCTTTTAATTCATCACACTCTGGTAGTTGCCACATGCTTTATCAAAAGATGTTTCGTATGTACCTTCTTATGTTAATTATGTCAGTGTTTCATCCTCTCTTGTCCAATATATCATATATTGCTTTCCAAAGCTAGTATGCGCAGTATGTATGCCCTTGTGTGCAGGACAGCGGATATTCTTAGGCTTGAAAATAAAAGGTGTGACTGATACTCTATGATTGTAGTATTAAATCAATTAACTTGAAAATTGTTTGCCATGTATTCACCTCTGTATACTGATAACTCAGCATTAGTCTGGCAGTATTTATCATCATGTATGGTTATGCATAATCTGTTGAAAGAATAATGTATAATTTATGTCCCCTCCTACTCCTTCCAACACATAAACTTGGATAAAGTTGTACCCAATCATGCTTTTCAACTCTGATATTTTTTTTTAAGATTGTGTGCTTGATTTTATTGATGGCAGGGGATTGAATAATATTCTGCGACTGTATGTTAAGAAGGTCAACAGCTCAAAATGGGAGAAAATCTCTGTTCCTTCAAGGTTGATTTTTGTCCTGGAATATTTATTTGAGTGTTGTAATTTATGTTTGTCATGTAATGCAGAATCTCTTGGATAACTAACAATTATATGTGTTTCGTTGTTCTTGTTATTTGACAACTATATGAGTATCAACCTGCTAAGCCACAATATAAAATTTTGGGAAAGGGTGCTGGAGATGAGGATGAGTAGGGGTGTGTCTATCACGGAGAACAAATTTGTATTCATCCGGGCGTTTGACTACTGAAGTCATACATATCATTAGGAGATTGATGGATCAATATAGGGAGAAGAAGGACTTATATGAGAGTAGCTGAAATGATGTTGAGACAGAGTGTTGGCTGGTAAAAACTCGCATGTCCAAAAGATTAGAGTAGCTGAAATGATGTTGAGATGAATGTGTGGATATATGAAGAGAGATTGGATTAGGAACAAAGTTATCCGGGATAAAGTGGGAATGACTTCCGTAGTGGACAAGATGAGGGAGAAGAAACTGAGATTGTTTGGGCATGTGAAGAGAAGATACACATATGCTCTATTGAGGAGGTGTGAGAGGTTGGCTAGTGGTTATTAGAATAGGTAGAGGTAGGTCGAAGAAGTCAAGGAAGATGCGATTAGACAGAACATGAAATACCTGCAACTTGTTGAGGACATGAACCTTGATAGGAAGATATGAAAGTCGAGGATTAGAGTTGAAGGTTAATAGGAAGTCAATCATTGAATAGTTCCCTTCCCCGTATTGTTATTGTTACTATCTTACTAGCTTATTCGTCGATGTTAATGTTACATGGTATTTCATTTGCTTCAATTATGGTATTATTTGTTGTTATTTTTGTCATCTTTTTTATTGTTTTCAGCTTGACTTCCTTGCTACTGTATTTGCTTCACACTTGTCTCTTTAAAATGCTTTACTTGAGCCGAGGGTCCATTTGAAACAGTTTCTCTACCTTCACAAGGTAGGGCGAGACTACATGCACGCCACCCCCACCCTCCCCAAACCCTTCTTGTGATATTACACCGAGTATATTGTTTTGTTTTAGTTATTTGTCAAGTAGTCAATTATATTGTTCTGTAATATGAACTACAATGCTAATGCACCGGATGTTACATGTTTTTTTTTTTTTTAATTTGTGCAATCATTTTCCTGTTTTATCTTTTTGTAGTGTTCGGTCAATAGTCACTCTTAATCTCCCTAGCTATGGCGGTGGAAGGAATCCATGGGGACGTTTGAAGCCAGAGTACTTGGAGAAGGTATTCTTTTGTGTTAGCTGTGTAGGACTTCAGTGTATAAATTAATGATTACTTCCTGAATTCTACAAAGTAAATTAGTCATTTCTGAAACCAACGATAAACTAGGGTTATTTAGTTGGAAATTGCTGAATAGTTTAAATAGAATGTATTAGCTGTTCTGCTTAGGCTGTCAGACAAATATCTTTGTACAAAATTTTCAGTTTGCAAAATTTCTAAATTTGGTCCATATTCAGAAAAAATGTTTTCAGCTTCTTGACAACTTAATGTTTTTAGTACAACACTTATTTTATAGTCTGTAATCAGAGAAAATGATTGAGCTTCTAGTCACTTCAAGTTTTAGGTTCTGCATATTGTGTGTTTCCTCTACTAGCAATACATGATTTGAGCAAAAAACCCAAAGTCTCGTGGTATTTTTTCCCAAAGTTCTTGCAACTTGTAATTTTTAAACCTTTCAAAGATTAATTGATGTGTTTGTGCAGTTTATCACATATTCTCAGTTTTCAAACTTTCTCAGTTCCTAGAATGTGGTCATAATAAACTTCAAGATAACGGTAGGAAGTTGCAGCCACTTCACATCATCAAAAGTAACAATGAGTTTGTTTTTTCCTATGAAATGTAGAGGGGTTTTGTGGAAGCTCATGCAGATGATGGTTGCATTGAAATTTTTGGCCTGAAACAAGGATGGCATGCCTCTATGGTTATGGTTGAGCTCATTTCTGCAAAACACATTGCCCAGGTATTTATCAAATCTGGTAAATAAGAATTAGTGCAGCTTAGAGGCAATAAATTTAGATGTGTACGTGTTAACCCTTATTATGTGTCCTCCCTATTACATTTTGATCATGATAATCATTACATGCATTGCCTCATAAATTTTCCAACGAAAAAAACAAAGCGAGGAAGGGTTATATCTACTATCACTGGAAATTCCTGTTGCTGTACTAACTCCAGCTAAGTTTCTCCATCGTCTGTCTAAGGTAAGGCCCTTGCATCACGCAAGGATATCTACATACACCTGATAATGGTCATTCGGGCATCTGTATGAGGCTCTCGTTTTTATTAGGGTTGATAAACCAGTTGTCCTCATTTTGGACAATAAATTGTTAATACATCCTAACGCGAGTCCCTCCCAAAGAGATAATAGAGTTGAAAGAGAGGGGATATGGTAAATTGAGAGAGCATATCTGGTTCTATATTATATGAACTTGGAGGAAGTACATTCACTAGAACACATCCAAAACAGATGGTAATTACTTACGTCTCATTGAATTAAGCAAAAACTATTTTAGAACCAAAACCTTTTCTGGACAAGATAAACTCTTACTTGGCCATCTCATTTATCTGAATTTCAACGCTGTTTAAACAGTTGGCTTTCTGTAAAAATCGATAGGTAACATGTGTGGATTTGTTGTCTCTCTCTCTCTTGCAGAATGTCATATGAGTTTCTCATCGTTTTGTTGGGATCACATTTGTTCTTGATGAGATTGTTCTAGTTATTCCTAGGTGGAAATTTGTTCTTAATGAACACTTGTTTTGCTACTTTGTAGGCTTCAGCAATTCGATTTGAGTTGCGTGCAGGAGAGTGGGATGAAGCTTATATGCAGATGGACGGTGAACCATGGAAACAACCAATTAGCAAGGAATATTCAACCTTCATTGAAATTAAGAGAGTACCATTTCAGTCTCTCATGGTTAACGGCAAGAGAAATTGATCTTGTAGTTATCTATATTCATGTAAAGCATTTCAATCTCCCAGAATAGCTTTTGCTTGTTCACAATGTACATACATTATGTGTATCATAATTTATACACATTGACATATTATCTAATTTATGGATAGATTATGCACAGAAATGAATTGCATAAACATTATAGTGTTGATTTTACCATGATATTCAAATAAACAACTGTACTAATCATGAATTCATTTTTCATAATCCCAATCCTAAAAAAGAAATAAGAAGTTTGTCTTGGTGAGAATTGGCCGTTTCAGACCAATCAATCTCAGGCATTCAGAAAAATCAACATCATATCATATCATCAAATTATTATAAGTGGGAAGCTCAAAGTAGAAAAGTTGAATCACAATTTTACCCTTATGCTAAATTCAAATGTTATTAAATAAATAATTAATTAAATAGTAAATAGTAGAATTTCTATAATATTTTTATTTAATTGGTATACATGTGAGTAAATTAAATTGAACAAAAATCTATATATATATATATATAAATGTGAATCCAAAACCGCTGATGTGGTAGCCCCCAATGGCCACCATTTGAAAATTCTTATTTTATCTTTTTAATTAAATAAAAATCTGTGTTTTATCTAAAATAAAAGTAACCCCTCATTTAAAAGATCACACTAAATAGCAATAATTAATTAACTAGCCCCCACTAACATCTTCTTAATCATCCAATTTAATACATTACAGAAGGCAAACGGCAACAATATCATCCTTGGGCATAGTTTAAGAATGCAGGCCAAATCCTCCTTTTATGTTCTCATCCTCCTCAGAAGGTTTGATTACCAACGCTAATTTTAAGAATCCATATGGTTCGTTCCGTTTTCAAATCGTTTCTAAATCTTCCTAAATCTATCTCCATATTAACACCTTCTGTTTATCGCCCAAATTCGATCTCCATCTCTAGCTCATACTCAACTCCAAGAATTAGCAAGAGAATTGGCTCATTCTTTTCTGCACCCGTTGGTGAGCAATTTCAAGAATTTGGGTCGTTATTTTCAGCTAAATACAGCACAAATGGCTATCTTCTCCCTCCCAACTTCATAAGTAAGTAGCCAATCTTCTCCTTCCCAACTTCATAAGTTTCATAAGGTATGTATTATGTTTTGATGTAAGGTTTCTGTTTTGATCTTCATGATTTGTAATTGTCATGTTTTTAATTTGTATTAATCTTAATTGATTTTTGTGGCCTTTCATATCCTAATTCTTCTTATATATATAAAATAATAGTGTTTTATCAAGTCGATATTTATATATAGTGTGTTTCACGAAAAATTTTAATTGACTACCTCATTTTTAGCAAAACGTCTTCCTCATCTGTAGATGTGGTTGGTTGTTTATATGGAATCGGTGATATGGAAAGCTTGTGCGAACCGGGAAAAAAGGGAAACTCTACATTGTTACAAATTAGTAAGTCACTCATCTTATTTTAATTAGTTTGATTATGTCATCTTCTTACAAAATAATTGTTAGATACTTTTATGATAGTTAATCTTAGGTGCTACTAAATGGGAATTCATTAGAAATTATTTTGCTTACATATTTTAACCATCTAATTGATCTTTAACATACATAAGAAGGTGCGTAATTGACCCTGAATACTTTGACATTGAGGTGTATATAAGATTTGGATGGGTCTGTGTTTGATTTTAAAATAGGGCTATTAAAATAAGAGTTCTTCAATCTGGTAAGAAGGAAAAGAGAAAAATGATATTGGAGCTAATCTAAATGACTGTGGCTGCATTTCTTTGGACTGTACGAATGAACAAGTGTGATAAAATTGCAGGGGAGACATTGCTTTGGACTGATAAAACATGGTTCAAGCTATATTCCAATATCTTTGACACACACACACCTTTTTTGTTCCATTTGCATGTATGTTTGCTCATTGCACTTTGCTGTAAATACTATTTCCAACTCACTTTTTGTTATGTTAGTTTCCGCTTGATCATTTAATTGCCGCTCAAATGTGGATCCTTTCAGTATGGCTAGCAGTTTGTACAAACTTGATTTGATTATATGAGAAGCTCCCCTTTCAAGTAAAAATTTGTTAAACAGAAAATAAATGTCCGTAAAGTGTAACGAGCACCATGAAAACATTGGCAATATTTGTACTTTCTTCCATTCGTTGGAAGTTGTGGATTTCGGCATTACTTGGCAACAAGTTATGGTTGATGTGACTTGCTTTTCTAGATTTTGCGAACTTAAATCTGTACTCTTCTATTTTGGAAGCTAAATTACTTAAGTTTTTTTATCTTATTGAAAACTGTAGTTTTGTGTTGATCCTCTAATTGTTATGTAGGGTCATAAATAATGGGTAGCAGAAGTGCAATTTCTGGGAGTGGTAGATCACCCAAATCTTGACAAACTTGGAAATTGTGATGTTGGCTTATTTGCATGAAGAATTGGAAGTTCAGGTATTTTATCTGAATATTTTTTGATGTATTTGTCTAAACTTTTCATAAATATATATTGCAAGTGTGTGAACTCTTAGTTGGATTTCTATTTTCTTCAATGTATAACCCAATTGTGGCGTATTGCTTGATGTTGAAGGTATATAATCATTGATATGGCTTCACCTTTGTGGCCTAAAAATGTTAAAGCAGAGTTTTTCTATATGTTTTCATTTATTTTTCTGAATTTTTTGACATTGGAGTGTCTGTGTTTCATCTTTAATTCTATCTGTAAATTATAGCAATGTCTTTATTCAAGACCATTTCAAATTAAAACGTCATCTGCATTGACATATTTATTGTAGTGGTAAAGTATTGCCGAGTTGCGTTTCAAAAATTTCTAAACACTTTTTTGGAGTCGTTAACTTGAGCTTGGACAGTATAATACAGGGCCAACATTAATGAACAAATAATTGGGATGGATCTAACTCAAACATCATACAATATAGTGTGAAGATAAATAACTCAACCCAAAAAGTAACTCAAAAAGTAATTCAAAGAGTGAATTTGTGTGAGTCGGCCAAATTTCCATAAGAAAATGGAAATTCTTAGCATAAGTAAGTCAAATAACAACAATTTTCGTTTAGACTACTAATCGATTAATTTTATTTCATCTTTACAATTCTTGGTTATATGAATTATATAGTTTGAGATAGACAACTGCCAAAATGCATCCATTTTTTTTTAAAAAGTAGATGGTCTTTTTTTACTATGCAGTACTTTGTATTCTTAACTTTTAAAGCTGTCCACATCTCTGTCTGAGAGTTTCTGGCCTTAAGAAGTTTGGCCTATTCTGAGCATGTTTGTATTTTTCTGGTTAATAAAGAAAAGAGTGACGACACATAATAATAATAATAATAATAATAATAGGGGAGATAATGATAATATATCAGACACACACAATGCATAATAACAATAGTCTATGAAGTGAGTTGAGAACCATGAGTTCTCACGCTCAAGAAGCTGCAAATTAAGTTAGAACATTGTCTTGCTATCTTCATAATCAAGTTATCATAACGTCCATTCATACACATATATATGCGCGAAAAATAGTGATGAACCTAATATTTGTTCCCTCATAAAACCATCTCTTACTGTATTGTACTCTGAACAAAAAAGTATTCTATGAAATTCAGTACAACAAAGTACTCTAGGAAATTAGTAATTTACAAGATGTATGTAAGTCCTAATAAAAAAAATGTACAAAGCATATCATACTGTGTTAACTTCAATCCCAACAACTGATTCAGAATCTGCTGCATACGTGTAGCTCTGATTATTAATATGGATGGGGAGGAATAACACAGATACGATTAACGGATTAAGAACAGAACCTGCTACTCTAAATTTTAGATTCGTCACTGATTCAACACGCATATATATATATACCAAGAGTGCTCCAATAAAGACAAGTCACAAGTCTGTTTTGCTTCCAAGGCAGCTTATTTAAATCGAAAGAGACTACAAAATTTCTTCCATTACTAATCTCTTCCTAAATCTAATAAGATTCTGTGGAATAGTATTCTCAACAAACATTCACCCTCTTCCAAAAGTTATATTCTAGATAGTGTGCAAGGAAAGACAAATGGGACGATTGTAAAATTACAAATCAAATTATTTTGAGGAGTATCAAATAATAATAATAACGTTGTTCTAATAAATGCTGCACCTACTGAAAAGCCATAACAGATTTGATTTTTGTTTTTTGTTCAAATTTGGTTTGGGCTAATAACATAATACTGGATCAATGACGCTAAAAGCCTAAAAATAGCTTGTGGTTTTCGAAGTATAGGTAAGGGCAAACCAAATAAAAATAATAATTTGTTCATTTTCTTTTTTGCTTCTCTTTTGTAGTTTTTTGAGATTTTTTTTCTTATTCTTGTAGTTTCTACCGACACTGATTGTCTTTATTCACTTTGTAAATTTGAAGAATCAAATTATGTTATGTTGAGAACATGATCTTCATGCTAAAAGTCTTCTTTGAATGCCTATATCCTGGCGGTTTTGGATAATGTTATGTTGAGATCGATGATTATAATTCTTTTCCTTGGAATTGTATTCATTTGGCTTTGGCTATAATTCTTTTTCCTTGATTAATGTGATGTCATGTTCTTTAACTAACTGCTTCCTATTCTAGCTCTCTGCTTTACTTTCTGACATAGGGATTAATATCCGAGAAGCTCATGTTTTCTCAACAATTGATGGGTACTCATTAGATGTATTTGTGGTGGATGGATGGCCTGTTGAGGTATGCTCTGTGTTGCTCACCATTTTTAGTAGGTTTGATGTACATATTCTAGCATCTTGTTTCATATCAGTGTTTCTACATTACCACTTACTTTTGTGTGAGTTCTCTGGTGGGTCTTCTTAATTTAATAGATTTCAGTTTCGGGGTTTAAAGAACGAATGATTTAGGGATTATATGATTGTAATCTTAATTTAGTCTCTCAACATGTTTGCGCATCGCGCGATCCTAACAACTATTTTAAAAATAATGACCCTGAATACTTTGACATTGAGGTGTATATAGGGAACCAACGGATTGACCAAACAGATGGTAATTACATTTAATGTTAAAATTCAAATAATTTTAAGGATTAACATGTTTAATAAATATGTTGATAAATTTACTTTTTGAAGAACAATCAGGTATCTGTTGATGTGTTATTGACTGACTTGGAAGATTATGAGGATGAAGTACATGTAACTAATGGTGCTAAGAGTAGAAAACGAAGAAACCTAATCATAGATGATGAGGAATTAAGCATTCAAGACACAAATAAGGTCAAGAAGTAAAGGGATAATTGTTGGTCATAAATGACGAGGAATAAGTGTTCATCACACAAATAAGTTGAAGATGTAGAGGGATAATTGTTGCTTCTGATTGTTTTCTGTTTTTTGGGCTAAGTTTAGTTGTTTCGTCCTTTTATAATTTACACTTTAGTATAATAACTAGCCACATTTGAGCTTAGTTAAGTTATTTCGTCCTTTTACCATTTTAAGTTTAGTTTAATAAGTAGCTCCATGTTATCCGTAGTGATATTTTCATACTTGTATGGTTTTATCCAACCTTAGACAACTTATATTATTAATCTATTTCATTGTTTGCATATGATGTCACTGTCAACAAAATCGAATCTGTTTCTTCTTCAATTATATATCCCTATATCAATTTCCATGTTGCACAATTCATTTCTTTGGTGCTTGCTATCTAGCCGTACGTACAGAATGTACTCTTTCCTACTATTCATTTTACAGCCACTTATTATTGCAAAATTAAAATAGAGTATGGGATAACTATGACATATAAGCAAGCTTAGTTAGCCCACAAAAGAGGCCTGCAAGCTATATATCAAAATTTCAGTGAAGGGTACTTCTATATCGTGAGCAAATAAAGAAGATAACTTCAGAAATAAAAATATAGATGAGTTAATTCTTCCCGGCTGGTAGTTTTTCATTAAATTAGAATGGGAAGTGTTAAATACATGAGAATATATAGAGCTGCATATTATTTATCAGTAAATTATAATTTAAGTGGATATTTAACCATGGATGACTTAGTTTCTTAAAATTGTCTTTCGTAAGTTGTCTTTAACTATAAAACTTAACACATAGAGGTATTTGATGTCACATTCACTTTTGGATTTGTGTTGTTGAAGAGGAGATGCTTTATGTATTTATACACCTGTCAAATGATGGTATCCACCCCATCCACGAGATAACTTCCGAACAAAATAACTTAGTTACTTGTAATTTCCTTCCGCCAGTTGCATTTGAGGAATAGTTTCAAGTAGGTGTTGACTCATGGATGACTTAGTTCTTATAATTGTCTTCCATAAGTTGCCTATAAGTTGCCTTAAGACGAAGACTAAACACGTATAAGTAGTTGTTGTTACAATCAATTTTGGGTTTATGTTGTTGAAGAGGATAACAACATATTGCAGACTATTAAAAAAAATCAGGCAGTCGGATAGGAAAGGCAACAAGGAATCTTATTAAGTGAACTGCATTGAGTATTGCAAAGACCTATTCATGCTTAACAAGATGGAAATGGGAGGAGTTGTGTTATATTTTATGCGTTATTACTTATTTGGATTCTCTATGTTGGAGCTCGACATGATGAGTGCAACTAAACATGATATTTTCAGTGATTCTTAAAAGTTAATCTGTCTCAGAAGTTAGAGTACTCACCTTCGCAAAAACAAGTGTTTTTTATTTATTTATTTTAGTTTCTAAGGTTAAAAACATCATCGTTCAACATTAACCTTCTTTCCATTCGTGAAACTTATACAGAAATACTACAATGGATAAGACAAATAAGGATCGCCCCCAAATAATCAATATAAATTATGATCAGAAAATATATTCTCTAACTATCATCTAATAAATAATGATATGCCGTATTTGATGTAAATCATATATATTTTAGCAATAAAAAAAAACTTTTTAACAAAGTATATATTCTAAATTTATTCATTAACGATGTATTATTCTCATGTATGATCATTTCAAATGAAAACAAAATGATATGCTCAAATAATATAATCATATAATACATCCACAAGAAATAACTTCCTACCACATATTAATTAATCCGCGTGCGAAGCGCGGATATGTTCCCTAGTTAAAAATAAGAGCTATCCCTTTGAATAGATACATGTATGTGTTTTATCTTCCAAATTAATTTATATTTTTAATTAATATTTGACTTTAATTTGTTATAATACATGACCTTTCAACTTTGTAAGTGAATCTTCATATTCCAAAACTATATTTTTTTTCCTATAAATATAAATCTTTCTATGAAAAGCTTTAATCAAGTGAAAAAAATTTCAAGGCAAAGAGAATTTGTGTCAAGAGTACAAGGTGTAATGTAATTATAGGGATGAATAACACTTCAATTACTAGAATATCGGAGTTTGTTGTATTTGTTTTTGTAATTTGTCGAGATCAGAACTATGATAAGACCCCTCCATTTATGTAGTTGAATGTCGCTTTCGTTAACTTGTCTTCCAAAACTTGTAATTTTTTTTTATGGTCAAAGGTTGAATGTTTATTACAATAGCATTTTTTCAATTTGCATTATCAATAAAAAATAGGGAAAGAAATGTCTTAAAAAAAGGGAAAGGAATGTCTTCAATTTGCATTTTTCGTTGGTAGCCTTATGCTAAACTTGCTCCTATATTTGATATTTTTTCTTTGTATTTGTATTTTCGTTTTAAGAATGCATTTGATTCAATAGTGTATTTTCGTATGAATTTTTTAATACTTAGTCTTAATGATTTTCCATTACAAATTTAATATATTTAAATTCTTTTATATATTTTATTCTTAGATTACAGTTTTATTTACATAGTACATTTAAATTTTATAAATTATTTAATAAATTAAATATTAATATTAAATATTATATAGTAAATCATCATATTAGTATACATAACTTACCATCAACTTGTAAATGTATGTAACTCTCACTAATTATATTCATTATGTTCATTACTCTCATTTCTCATCGATAATCTCAAATGGATTAATATTTATTTATGACAACTCTTTGTATTCCTCAATGCTATCCAATAATAAATAGTGACATTTCACACAATAATATATAAACTTAAACCAATTGAAAAAAAATGAGAAAATCTCTATGCTCTCTTTTCTCGTCTCTTTTTATTTATTTACTTTAATATTTATGTTTCTTGCTTCTTGTTATTGTACAACATACTTTCTATTGTTGTGTTATTATTATTGATAATTTACTATGGCCTGTTGCTTTATATACATTAACCTATCATGTTGTATTTTAATATCTTCATTTGAATATTGAATTTGTGTGATAGTTACTTTTACTTTATGCACTTTTAGTCAATTTTATAGTTAAAGATATAATATTTTTACTAGGAAGATATATGTAGTATTTATCGAAACAATGATGAATTTTATAATACAAAATTTATATGAAGTATCTTGGGATAAACGTGCTACGCACGGTCCTAAACTATCTAGTATTATTATAAGTTGGAAGATTTTACGTTTAAAGTTAGATTACAAAAATGTCCTTCACCAATTTTTTAAATTAAAAAATCTTTTACTAATTTTTAAGATCAAATCAATAATGACAATTAAACTAGACCAAATACATGATTAGATGTTACAACTTATCATTTTCCATTTCTTAATGAATTTGGTTGTTAAAACTTTTTAGCTTCTACCATTTGACACATTCATGCACAAACCTTTCATATACTTAATTTCTCCCTTTATAAATTGGATAAAAAATATTAATCCACAACACTTTGTTTTCATCATCTAATAGTTCTTCTGTAAGGAGTATTTTTTATTGGTCACTATTTTTCTTATTGATTTGTGCATTCGTTCATTTTTATTTTCATGGTTGTTAGAGAAACACATAATCTAATAGTTCTGGTAATATTTTTTTATTGGTCAGTATTTTTCTTATTGGTTTGTGTCCTTCATTAATTTTTTTATTTTTAATGATTGTTGGAGTATTTATATCCAAAGAATTTCAGCCTTGGGGCTTAGTTCTAGCCTTACAAGTTTCTCATCATTCACAAAAAAAAAATGTTGATATTTAAGTTCTAGGCAAAAAGTAAACACTAAAAAAAGTTTATTTTATATGCACAAAAAGACATATAACAGTAACAGAGGTCAAACGTGCAAGATACTTCCAGAACTAGTATTATTATAAGTGGAAAGCTCCAAAGTAGAAAAGTTGAATTAAAATTTTACCCCTTATGCTAAATTCAAATGTTATTAAATAAATAATTAATTAAATAGTAAATAGTAGAATTTCTATAATATTTTTATTTAATTGGTATACACATGTGAGTAAATTAAATAGAACAAAAATTAAAAATAAGAGTTGTCCCTTTGAATAGATACATGTATGTGCTTCATCTTCCAAATTAATTTATATTTTTAATTAATATTTGTCTTTAATTTGTAATAATACTTGACCTTTCAACTTTGTAAGTGAATCTTCATATTCCAAAACTATATTTTTTCCCTATAAATACAAATCTTTCTATGAATTTTTTTTTCATAGAAAGATTTATATGTGATACAATTTTTGTGTGTGGAAGACTAGAGAAGCTTTAATCAAGTGAAGAAAATTTCAAGGCAAAGAGGATTTCTGTCAAGATTACAAGGCGTAATGTGATTATAAGGATGAATAACACTTCAATTACTAGAATATCGGAGTTTGATGTATTTGTTTTTGTAATTTGCCGAGATTAGAACTATGATAAGACCCCTCCATTTATGTAGTTGAATGTCGCTTTCGTTAACTTCTCTTCCAAAACTTATAACTTTTTTTTTATGGTCAAAGGTTGAATGTTTATTACTATAACTTTTTTTCAATTTGCATTATCAATAAAAAACAGGGAAAGAAATGTCTTAAAAATAGGGAAAGGAATGTCTTCAATTTACATTATCAATTTGCATTTTTGTTGGTAGCCTTGTGCTAAACTTACTTCCATATTTGATATTTTTTTTTTGTATTTGTAATTTTATTTTAAGAATGTATTGATTGAATGGTGTATTTTCTTATAAATTTTTTAATACTTAGTCATAATGATTTTCCATTACAGATTTAGTATATTTGAATTATATATATATTTTATTCTTAGATTACAGTTTTATTTACACAGTACATTTAAATTTTATAAATTGTTTAATAAATTAAATATTAATATTAAATATTAAATAGTAAATCATCATATTAGTATACATAACTTACCATCAACTTGTAAATGTATGTGACTCTCACTAATTATATTCATTATGTTCATTACTTCATTACTCTCATTTCTCATCGATAATCTCAAATGGATTAATATTTATTTATGACAACTCTTTGTACTTCTCAATGTTATACAATAATAAATAGTGACATTTCACACAATAATATATAAACTTAAACCAATTGAAAAAAATGAGAAAATCTCTATGCTCTCTTTTCTCATCTCTTTTTGTTTATTTAGTTTAACATTTATGTTTCTTGCTTCTTGTTATTGTACAACGTACTTTCTATTGTTGTGTTATTGTTATTAATAATTTACTATGGCCTGTTGCTTTGTTTACATTAACCTATCA